ATTTTAAAATTATTTTTTAAAATATGTAAGTGTAATATTCTATTAGAATATTTCACGTATTTTTAAAAAAAATGAATTTATTTTTATTTTTTTATTATTTATTTTTATTTTTTTTAGTTAATTCAAGTTTGGAAAATAATATTTAAAAAAAGAATTTTTAGATTTTTCCATTTATTCTGCATTTTAAAATTATTTTTTAGAATATGTCAGTGTAATATTCTATTAGAATATTTCACTTATTTTTCAAAAAAACGATTTTTTTTTAATTTTTTTTAGTTAATTCAAGTTCCGAAATAGATATTTAAAAAACGAATTTTTGGAGTTTTCCATTTATTTTGCATTTTAAAATTATTTTTAGATTTTGGTCTTACAGTCTCACAAAATTAAAATGATCTCAAATAAATCTAAACATATATATATATATATATATATATATATATATATATATATATATATATATATTCCTGGTAACCATTTTTCAGTGGGGGTCAATGCACTCCTACTGAAGTAAATCCGCCACTGATTAATGATTGAACACTGATGCGAGAGTATAAAGATGTTTAACATGACAATGTTTTTTTAATTGTATTTTAAATTTTATATGATCATGTTTTGCAAATTTAAAAGTAATTTATAAATTAAAATATACAACATTTGAACTCATATTCAATTATTTATATATATATATATATATTCTTTTCTTACCCTTTATATTGACAATACTGTATCAAATAAACATAATTCATCGTAATAAGCAGCTCTATTAATTTTTGTCCCATTTGAATTTTTACCTTAGTTGATTCAAATTATGGGTTCGTTGGATTAGCTTTGATACCCACATTTTTGATTGAAAAAGATGGATAACATAGAAATAGGCGATGATCTAGCATTTTTTTTTTCCAATTCTTTATTTTTTTTTATCGGAAATTTTTTTATTTTTTCATCTGATTTAGTCACTTTTATGTTCCAAATAGATTCTAATTTTTTTATATATTTTTTGATTTCGTACTTTAATGCTTTTATTTAATCATTTTGTTTTATTCTAATTGTATCTACATACCCATTTTTTATTTGGGTTGTTAACTTAACGGTATAGTATTCAGCTTTTCTATATATATATATATATATATATATATATATATATATATATATATATATATATATATATATATATATATATATATATATATATATATAATTGCAAATTTAGCCTAATACACTAATTATTTTGTGGAAAATAGCTAATAAAACATAAATTACAAAATTAGCCATTAAAATCGCAGATGAATTAAGTTCACCTGTGATTTCGCAGTTTCATCTGCGATTTCGTAAAAAAACGTTTTTTTTTTTTTTTTTTTTTTTTTCATTTTTCACTTTATTTTTTTAGAGAAACTCTCTCTCTCTCTCTGATACATGAGTTGAAAAATCTATTTTATTTTGTGCAGCTGTTGGTTGGCCTTGAACTTTACTTGATGCATGTTTAATTAAATTGTACATTCTATTTCTACTACGGATAATACCACTTAAAGTGAATGGAACTCATTTCCCTTTTTTCTACAAATTACAATTAAAAGCTAGTAAATTATTCTTAGCTATCATATTTATAATATATTCAACCAACACAAAATAATAGTCCAAATTAACAAGAAAGTTAAAAGTTCACTAGAGATTAATTTTAAACGACAGGAAGGGTTTAACTAATAATTGGATTAAGAATTAATTAAAAAACAAGTGAGATCGGTCGACGAGCCGTAACTCAACTGGGATGGGATTGGAAACAACATTTTATGGTCGTGATTGTTGACCATCGCAACTGCTTGGCTACTTACACTTACAAACAAACTTGTACTTTTCTTTTTCTACACGATAAAAATAAAAATAAAAATAAAAACGATAACATATCTTTTAACAATTTTTCCAAAAAAATTACAACAAAAATGATAATTTTTTAAAAGTTTATATATAATAAGGTTGTTTCGTAATCCAATCCTATCAATTTCGTAGTCAAAATAAAAAAATAATTTAAAAAACATAAACCAAAAAAATTCACTAAATAGCAGGTGAATAGAGAGGAAATCGCAGATGGACTATACCCATCTGTGATTTTAGTTGCTAAAAATGCAATTTTGGTTTTTTTTGGCTATTTTCTACAAAATAATTAGTGTATTTGACTAAATTTGTAATATATATATATATATATATATATATATATATATATATATATATATATATATATATATATATATATATATATATATATATATATATATACTTTTTCTGATTAAATCTAGAATATCAATTCAATTAAGTCAAAAAGTAGGAATTTATTCACCATTCTTAGTCAACAAGCCAACTAGTTTCAAAATTTACATTTTTCACTAAATTTAAAATATTATTATAAATTTGATCTAAAATTTACATTTTTTTTTATCTTGTTTTCAAAATCTTCTTACGAATTCATCCAAAATTTAGTATTTTTACATTTTCTTTTTCAAAATTTAGTTTAGAATATGAATTTTTTCTTTTGCTTTAAAAAAAAATCATACTTAAACAAAAAAAATTCACATAATTTTTTTTTCTCTCTATATTAAAACCTTTTTTAAAAGATTATTTGTTAAAAAAATTCTTATATGTGAAAAATATGTTAAAATATTAAGGAAGAACATACGAAAGAACGCACGATATAAAAATATTCGTAGAAATATATTTTTATTTTAGTAAATATCTTGGAAATATATTTTTATATTTCTTTTATTAACATCATTATATTTATTATTATTTTTATAGAAACCTATAAAAATCATAAGTCTTCGTACAAACTCCATTTTCGATGTTTTTTGTATCTGCGTGTTCATCTTGACGACTACTACAACTTTCATTTTGACAATTTTAGCCAAAAAAATATAGTCACTTTCATTTCATAAACAAATGTTTATATTTATTAACTTTTCTAAGTGAAAATGAGTGTTACAATTTATTGGTTTATATTAAAAAAACGTTGAAGTGGCCTACAAAATTTTGTTTAAAAACTAAAAAACATATTTTTCAACTTAAAAACCTAGATATTTGCTAAAATAAAAATACATTTCTAAGAATCTTTTTATATTGACGTGTTCTTGCTTATGTTCCTTCTTAATATTTGAACATATTTTTCACATATAAGAATCTTTTTTACCAAAAAATCTTTTAAAAAAAATTTTTATATAGAGAAAAGAAATTTTTTAATGTGAATTTTTTTTTTTTATAAATATGATTTTATAAAGTAAAAAAAAGAAACATATTCTAAACTAAATTTTAAAAAAAGTATGTAAAAATACAAAATTTAGGATGAATTTGTAAGAAAATTTTGATATGTAGGCCAAGTGTGTAAATTTTGGATCAAATTTGTAATACAATTTAAAATTTGGACAAAAAATGTAAATTTTGAAAATAGTTGACCTGTTGACCCAGTAAAAAGGGTCAAAGTGCATAAAATTCCTGATATTCGAGACTTAATTGAATACAATTCCTGGTATTCGGGACTTAATTAGAATATATATATATATATATATATATATATATATATATATATATATATATATATATATATATATATATATATATATATATATAAGGAGTTAATCGAATATGAGATGAAAATATAGAGACTTTATTGTAGATTTCCTATACTAAAAGGGTTAGTGTGGTTTGGCTATTATAACCTATTATTTTATGTTTTAAAAGATCTCTTATTTATTTATTTATTTTTGTCCTAATTAGGGCGTGAACTTGATATTTACATGTATTTTAGGTAGCACATGTAAATTAAATAAAATGAGGTGGGCTTGTTGCTGCCATTATGAACTCTTTATGGCATAGTTACAAACTGACAATACAAACCTTGGTCACCAAGTTTTGGGTTATGGTCCTTAGTATAAAATCATTGAGCATTCTTTCTTCCATTCTAGAACAAATATATTATTTTATAACCCTAGATTTGACATTCACATGGAGTATTCTTTCATATTTTTTTTCTTCTTAAAATGGGTTCTCAACAACATGCTTATTGATGATTTAAACTTACCACCATGCAACCATGAGGATAAAATCATTGAGACACATATCGTGATTCATAAACCAACTAATGGAATGGGTCCCGATTACAACATATTAGGATCCAAATATTTGGAGCTTCAAGTTGAGCTTAATGTTGTCAAGAAGAAAATCAACGCTTAGAACATGGGTTTTTGTCTTAAATAGTTTATGTACAGTTGTGTTGATCGTTGTGGTCATGGATGTCTAGAAGAATATAGTATAGGGTTGGATGCTTGGTATTTAACTTTAGCTCTTGTATTAAGGTTATAACTTGAATACTTTTAATCATTATTAAGGTATATAAAACTTGATAATGATTTTGACATAGACTTGAATGAAAGCAGGCAATTGTATACACTCTTTTGTAGAAACTTCCCCACCTTCAGTAATGGAAAAATGTGTTTATTATGGTTAAACATTGTCTTGATGTTTTTGATGTCATTAATGTTCTGATCTATCAATGAAAGAATGGGAATTGATAGGTTTGTGTAGCAACATTAACATCACTGTCAGACAGGGATGTAAACCGATTCGAAACCGGACTAGAGCTGAAAGAGTCGAAAATGAATTAAGGAGTAAACACGAAACCGAGAACCGGACATAATACCACTAACCTTCCAATTGGTTCCAATTCACCCATGTAGAAAAGATCCCCAAATAGCTTCATCAGGTTCCATTGGCGTCAAATTTATAAGTATTTCAGCTCCTTGCAGTTTCCTAGATCTAGCCAATACATCAACCATGCATCCATAATGCTCAATTCCTGGTTGAATGCCAAAAACTTTGAACATTTTTCCATGTAAACACCATACTTTTGTTACTAAAGATCTGTGATTACAAGCAACAAGAACAACAATGAATGTAATCTCATTAGGAATAGGTCCTTTATGTGTCATCTCTTCAAAAAGCTCGATTGCTGATTCATTTCACCCATTTGTGACTAGCCCCATAACCATGGAACTCCGTGTAGCAACATATTTGTAAGGCATTTTGATGAATATGTCTTCGGCTTTCTTTATATCACCACATTTAGCATAGAAATCTAGAAGTGCATTATCAATCTCAAGGTGAAAAGTAAAAGATTCTTCAAGTAGTTGATGATGGATGTTTTTGCCTATTTCTAGGTCTTCAATTTTACCACATGCAATGAGGATGGTTAGTAAAAGAGGCCTATTGGGCTTCACTAGAGAACTATGTTTCAAATGGAGGAATAAGTCGAATGCTTTGTTGAAAAGTTCGTTTCTCACAAGCCTAGGAATCATTGCACTATATGATACATCGTTTCTTTCAGGCATTTCATCAAACACCTTCTGACTTTTAGTCAAAGGAGGTGACTGGTTCAAAGCATACAATTTTATTAGGGGTAGTTTAGTCTTTTGATTAGAGTATGAGTAAGTAAAGGCCATGTTGGCCACGTTTTTTAGAATAGTTTAGATAGGTTTAGTTGGCTCCTATTTTATTGCTTTGACTAGGTAGAGTTTGTTTCCCTTAAAAGTGGAGTAGGCAGCTAGGTACGTGTATATATATTGTATGTTATGGTACTGAATAAAGTAGCAAGAGGTTAGAAAGATGTAGCCCTATGTATCTGTTTTCCTTCTTCTTTTCTTATTTATTTGGAGGTTGCTGGGTTTGTTCCAACACTTGGTATCAAAGCTAACCAGGGAGGTAGGTTCTGATGAAACCTGTGGTGAATGGTTGGCGTCTGTGGATCCATTTGTATGAAGATCGTGGGATCATGAAGAGGTTCTATGTGAACCATAATGTCCAGAGAAAGTAGAAGCTCTGTGTGAGCCGAAGAAAGTTCTGTGTGAGCCGAGTTCAATCAAGAAATCTGTGTGATTGAGTGTTTTGAGAGTTGAAAGAAAGTTGTGTGCTGAATTCATGTTCTGGGTGAACCAAGAAGAAAAAGGAACCTGTGTGGTGAAGCTTACCTGTGTGGAGAAGCAAGTCAACGTGAGAAGGAAAAAGAATGGATTTGTGTGATCAGGAGACAGAAACATTGTTCACCTGCAAGTGTGTGTGGGTCGGCTTGAAGAAAAGGCGAAGACGTTAATTAACCCAGAAGATCTGTGTGATCTGTGATGGTTCGGCTGGTGCAGCAGGTTTGTGAAGCATGTGGTGTTTCACGGTGGGTATTGGGCTACTGGTGCAGAATTCGGCGGAGGTGTTGTGCTGATAATGAATCGAGTGGCGATGAAACTAGATTGAAGAAAGTAGAGAAGGTGAAGAAGAAACCTGCCAAGGTGATGACTGGTAGAAGTTGTTCTAACTGTGAAGAAAAAAATGATGCGTAATTGTGAAGGAGATGGTTCAGCAACTGGCTCATGGTCGTGATTGCTAGGAGTATGGACAAGTCAGAATTAGGAGGGTGATTGTTGGGTATAATTCTGACTTTTAGTCAAAGGAGGTGACTGGTTCAAAGCATACAATTTTATTAGGGGTAGTTTAGTCTTTTGCTTAGAGTATGAATAAGTAAAGGCCATGTTGGCCACGTTTTTTAGAATAGTTTAGATAGGTTTAGTTGACTCCTATTTTATTGCTTTGACTAGGTAGAGTTTGTTTCCCTTAAAAGTGGAGTAGGCAGCTAGGTACGTATATATATATTGTATGTTATGGTACTAAATAAAGTAGCAAGAGGTTAGAAAGATGTAGCCCTATGTATATGTTTTCCTTCTTCTTTTCTTATTTATTTGGAGGTTGCAGGGTTTGTTCCAACACACCTTACATGCCTCATCAACAAGACCATTATTAAAACACCCAGTTATCAAACTCGTACAACAAACCACGTTCCTATACGAGCTTTCTTTGAACACCTGTATAGCTAATTCAACATTTTTGAAATTCGAATTCATATAAATAAGCGAGCTGGTGAGATAAACATTGCAAACATTTCCAAGTTTGACGACATGTACATGCACTTGAAGCAACGAAGATATCCAGTCACATGTTTTGATCAAAATAGGAAAAGTACGAGCATTCGGTTCGATGCGATTGTTGCACATTTGAGTGTAAAGTAAAATACCCATTTCTTGTTTTGAGGTTTTAGAGTAACCCAATATCATAGAGTTATAATCGAAGATGGTAGGAATGTTTGTTTGGTTCAAAATTGTGTGAGCATAATCAAAGTCGGACATCGTAGAGAAAGCTAAGAGCTTGCTGGTTACATAAGTAAATCGAGCAAGTCTGATGGTGATGGTTTGGGCGTGGATTTGTTTGAGTTGATCTATGGTTGAACATTTTTGAAGCAGGCGAAGATAAGGATTATGGTTGAACAATGGTGCAAATCACCACTCCCCAAATTTCCTTCTGAAACGATATAACGATCTATGCGAGATTATAAAAATTTATAACATGACATTTTTTTTATTGTATTTTAATTTTTATATGATAATGTTTTGCAAATTTAAAAAGTATGGGTTATTGTTATTCGGCTAATATAACCCACCAAACTATTATTTTATGTTTTAAAAGATTTCTTATTTATTTATTTATTTATTTTGGTCGTTCGCTCATCATAAGGGGATGAAATTGATATTTACATGTATTTTTGGGTACCACATGTAAATGAAATAAAATGAAGTGGGCTTGTTGCTACCATTTTGGACCCCTCGTGGCATAGTTTTAAATTGACAGTGCAAGCCTTGGTTACAAGCTTTGGGTTATGCTTCCCAATACAAATATAAGGATTATGGTTGAAACCCTAAAATGGTTCAATAAAGAAAACCTTTCTTCCCTTCTAGAACAAATATACTATTCTAAGACACTAGATTTGGTATTCACATGGAGCATTCTTCCATAATTTTTTTCTTTAAATGGGGTGCTCAACAACATGGATGTCTAGAAGAATATAATACAATGGCGGGTAGGCCTGATCCAGACAGGGGCAACCTAGACGGTCGTCCAGGCCCATATATATATATATATATATATATATATATATATATATATATATATATATATATATATATATATATATATATATATATATATATATACACACACACTAGCCGTTTACCCGCACCAAGCGACGAATGCGATATTTTTTTTCACAAATTAATTTGTAGAGGCGGTTAATTCTTTTGTTCTTTTGTGCAAATAGTTTACTACATATAAAACAATTATCAATAAAAGGCATGCTAACAGAAACAAAATCAATAAGAATAAAAAATGACAGATTAGGATTCTTTACAAATGTAGATGACCACATTATTGGTTGTGTATTATTAATCGTGCAACACTTCTTTATACACTATATTTGATGTGTGCAACACTTCTTTATACACCATATTTGATGTATAAACTTTACTGTGCTGAATTATTAGTTAGAGTTCACTAATACTTTTATATTGGCATATGATATCCCTCTAGATAATGCCACATAAAGTTGGCCTACATTTGGAATTGTTTCTCCCTAAGCTTTATTAATTGTTATCGCGAAACATAATCGAATTGGAAAATATTCTCTTCAGCTTGAATTGGAACATGTCATCTTCAGACAGACATAAAGGAATCATTAGAAAAAAATACCATCTTTCCAACATGTTAATGAACAACTATTTCGATATCAATGACATTGTGTTGAAAACTTTTACATATTAATTGGGTTCGATTACACAATTCATTTGTTAGGTTGCGATTCCGTAACATTATTATTCCATATATAATAACGAATCATGGTATAAACTCCATATAAGATATAATTAGAACATTACTAACATAGCTACATGATGCAACGGTAAACACAAATATCTCAAAGCTGATGGTCCTATGTTTAACTTTCACCCTCTTTGTTTTTACCCCTTGATGGTCCTGTGTTTAACTTTCACCCTCTTTGTTTTTATCCCTTTTTTGAATGACCTTACATGCAAAACTTAGGTTTCTAATATTTATTATGCAACTTTATCTAACTCTTGCCGGTTACCGTATGAGCTCAATGAAACCCTATCCATTTGGAAAGTCAATCTATTTGATATTATTATACTTTTTGATCTAATAATACTTTTTAAAAATAAATATTGAGGTTATTTTGTAAGAGTCCCCTTATTTTTTAACCAAGTCTGATTACTTGTGACAATTGTTAATAAATAAATATAGTAATATATTCATTTCAAATATCTTTAGCTAATTATTTTATGTATATTATTAGTATTTATGTAAAAAGGAAATGCATACCATTTTAAGTTCTAAGTTTTTGATAGTATTATGCCATATTTTGAAAATCGGGCCGGACCGATCAGTTCAGCCGGGATCATGTCTTAGAGGCCAAAAAACCATTCCTCATGTGAAACCGTAAAAACCAATCTCGTAGAACTTTTAAAAATCGGGAATTTAAAAAGTTATTTATTTATTTTAATTTTTGTATATTGTTTATATTAAAATTAATCATAATGTCATTATTACATCATCTGGTTTTTCTAGTTTTTGAGACTGGTTCCACCGGTTCGACTACTACTAAAAGTCATTTATATCTATTAATTACCTAAAATAAACTCAAAATTAATATTTAATATGTCAATTAAAATTAAAAATCATTTCCACAAACACTATCAGTCTAAGGACTTCAACTTCTCTTTTATAACCATATTTTGACATTTTGTTCTTCCTGGTTAAACTAATAAAAACACAAAATTTCAACATGAAAAACATGGAAGAAATAAAAGACCATAAACATGCCGATTATGTCATTTTTTCACAAGGTTCTACCAAATGAAAAACAAAGAACACTAACAAAAATTACATAGTTTTTATACATTACTTTCAACTTTTTAATATCATAATCTTTCAGCCAGTAGATATACTCTTCGTAATTAGACCTACACGTAAAATTTTAAATAAAGGCTCAAGAAATTAGTTATATAAATCAACTAAATAATTTATCATAAAACACTACACATAACACTTATATATTACAGTAAAAACTATTTAAACCAACAATCTCTACACAAAATAGTTGTACAATAATAATAACTACAAAAAATAGTTCCAGATGTCTTTTAGAGATAAAAAATTGCAAGTTGTTCTCCTATAACCTAAATAAACGCAAGAGAAATAGCAAATAAATATTTAAGTATTTTTCATAGTTGAGCCATGTTTTTTTTTGGTAAAATGTTAGAACTCAACAAAATGTCTAATTTCTATTGCTTTTCAGTTACCAGAAGCATGTAGAACATGAAAGAGTTAAGTTGATCTATCAAGTTCATGAATATCATTGAAGCTCCCTATCATTAGACTAACCAAATATACTAAGCAGAAGACATAAAAAAGTAACCATCAGATTCTATAACTTGCAAACCAAAGTTATAAACATAGATACATACATTTAAGATCAAAAAGCATATTTCCCTTCAAATTTTGCTAGGTTGGTTGAAATTCCTATAATGTTGCGCCTCTAGCGTTGACATCGACT